TCAATCAGGGACTCCTTCTCCTTGCGGTACCTGGCGTCGATCACCAGTCCACTCAGCAAATTGTTGTGATTGCCAACCAATTGTCCTGTTGGGCGTCCGACAGCCAGGCGGCCGCCGCCCGTTGCCGTTGTGTGTTGGGGCTCGGCCCCGGCCTGGCCCCGCCCCCCCCCCCCCCCTCGCGACCAAGGTTCTCGTGCACCCCGGGCCCTGCATGATGATGGACAGAGTGATTGCCGGGGACCGGGTGCACGAGCCTCCCCCGCCTCCAGTCCCACTTGCCCCGAACCGGCGCGCTCCACGCCCGGACCGGACAGGACGCACGGAGCTTGCATGCGCGGCCGACGGAAAACACAACCGAGGGGGCAGTCGTCCTTCCCCCCCCCCCCCCCAGTCTCCCACTCCGGAGAGGAGGGCGGGGCGAGAGACGCTGCTTGGGGTATGTAGGACCCTAGAGCGTACGTGACCAGGGCACATGATCGACATGACGCGATTTGCCCGCGATCCGCTGCTCGTCCCCCGGGCCTCGTGCCGTTGTTGGTCAGGATGCACAGGGCCATTTTATTTGTGTTTTTTTTATATCTGCCGCGCGTGCACACCTCGCTAGAGATCTGGGCGCCGGAGGCGCGCCGGGAATGGTCGAGCTGACTTGCGCGATCGTGCATCGGTCTGCCGTGCGTTTTGCGTATTCTTGCCGCATCTTCACGAAGAAGAGGAAAGCCCGGGTGCTTCTTCGATGCCAAGGCGCCTCTTCGCTTTCGCCTTCTTCCCCTTCGCCTTCTTCTTCCCTGCCTTCTTCTCTTTGCGCTGACACCTTGCCCCTGCCGCGTGAAACACACAATGACACGCCCAAGCGCCCGAGAAGAAGGAGACAGGCGGAAATTCGAGGGAATACACGTGTTCGCGCTGGTGCTTCCCCGGCGAGGGGGGGCCAGGTTGGATCAAGGGACCGAACAGGTACGTGCTTGCAGACACACACACAGACACACACAGACACACACACACACACACA